AGTGCCAGACACACAAAACATTTGAATTAAAAGCAAAGAATGCAAGTGCTTCACTTATGTTATAAATAATCTCATAATCATTTCACTTAAGTTGAATCTGTTAGTCAGAAAAAGAGAATTAGTTAAAACTACATCTTATGACCTACATATTCTGAACATTTTGATCTGTTTTCCCATAAAACTTGCATATGGTGTCACATCCCCTTATAACAAGAAAAAATTAAATTTTGTCCTAAGAAATTTTTGACAAACATGACTTTTTACAAGAGTAAGATATTTACTTTGATGCAATGTAAGATTTTTTCCCTTTATTTCACTTAGTAGTATGTTAATTTTAGTTGTAAGTAATCATCTCTTCCCTTTCTCATGGATCACATTTGAAAGGATTTTATGCAACTATTAAAGTTCACACTTATTGTTAAATTTACTAGGGCCAATAATAGCTTTGGGAAGAGTTTAGTTACAGAATTGTTTTTGAATAAAGAATGATGTTTTCTAACTGACAACACCTTTGAGATAGTGGGTCTACATATGAATTGAAAGATTTGTGACTGGACAATATCAATTTATGACTCTTGATGAGGAACAACTGTTGAAAAGAGAGACTCTATTAGAGAAACATTTCTTTCTGAAGGGGATTACAAATCCAATTCACAATAGACCAATTTTTGTTTTGTTCTGTGGAAAAATCTAACCCCAAGTGATATGRCAACCATACAAACTGCAAATAGGCTCTCACCTCTAAATTTTAAGCTTATGAGTTAATTCAAGGCAAACAGTATATTCAAATTCATTTTTGCATAAAATTTTATGCATATAGGAGACATTTAATACATATTTGTAAATTGAACTAAAAACACTTTATACTGCCTTTGCTTAGCATTATAAAAATTTGAAAAAAATTGAAAATGTTGATCATAAAATAAAAAGCGCTTCACTTATATTATAAATAATCTCATAATAATTTCACTTAATAAATGACTATAGTGCTGGATATTCTGATGGAACAACATTATTAATTTTACCTTTYGGAGGTTTCATATAAAAAGCATATAAACTTTTCCATTAAGTGTGAAACATGAGTTTCTTGTATTTTGTGAAATTTGAGCTTGGAAAATTTAAGATGATCATACTAAAAGAAGTATGACACACCTGCTTCAAATCTTTTTTGTATTTTTTTTTTSGGTGGTGCTGGGGATTGAACCCAAGGCCTTYTGTATGGGAGGCAAACACTCTACCAACTGAGCTATATCCCTAGCCCCTAAATATCTTTTCTATATAAAGACATAGACACCACCTGTGAGTTAATAATCAGAGCTCCTGATTTGTAAAATATTAATTTCTTTTTGTGGTTACTAGGGATTGAACCCAGGGCCTTTCACTTGCTAGGCAAATGTTCCATTACTGAACTATACCCCAGCCTCTAATTTGTTTTTAAATTAATATTAAACTTCCTTAGCAAAAGCTACAGAAAAGGAACATCATAATTCAATTCAAAATTACTTCCCAGCATACTTAATTTTCAGTTAAGGCAATGCCAGAACCCATACCCTCTGTGAATRCAAGTGTTCCCCTTTGTGTGATAAGATCTAACATATTAAAAGCATAATTTTTGCAACCTTTCCTAATCTTCATCCTTTTCTAAGGCGATCTATAAGACCTTTTTAGATTTTCTGTGACTCTGATTCTGATAAGGATCCAAGATGTAGTGATAGAAGTGGAGAATGGATGAGACAAGATGAGGCAATTAAAAAGAAGAAAGAGCGCTGAAAAATAGTGTTATATAACTTAATAAATGAATAGAAAAATTATAGTATGGATGAAAATTTTAAGAAATTTAACTGACTGCTTTTTAGAGCAGAAATGTAATATAGAAAGTTATCAAAACAGATTTTTAGGAAATGTGTTTGGATGATATGTAATGTAATTTATTTTCCACTATCACTTTTTTAATGACCTTCTGTAAAGACTTTGCTATTTAAGAACTGGATCTGGATTTGTTTTTTTATTCGTGGACTGAGATCAGCAYTAAATTTATAACTGGAAGCTGCTTTATTCAGATTATAGCTTAATAGATTTTTAAGGATTAATGCATYGTGAAATAAGTCTTTTTTGTTATGGCATGCATAACTTATTTATTGATARTTATTATATAACTCTGAAAATCTACTGAAATTCTGGATTCCCATTAGGCAGAAATTTATAATTTCTGATTGCATGTTTTCATAAATACCATTTTAAACCTTTATTTTATTGATTTGTTTTTTTATGTGGTACTGAGGATCAAACCCAGGGCCTCATCCTTGCTAGGCAAGCACACTACCACGTAGCTACAACCCTAGCCCTTCTGATTGCATTTTTAGTTTAATTATTTAAATGCCTCATCTACCTACTTGATTGTACATTATTTTTACATTTTTCCCAAACATGTCTTATACCATGAGATAATAATTTGACTATAGATTGAAAATTGACTACCCAGAAAATAAAATACAAATGGTTTCTTCAACTTTCTGACTTTCAAAATTTAAAAACTCCTTCAATACACAGACTAGAAAATTTTGTAAAGGCAGGTACATGAATTTTTATGCATGTTTTAGTTATCAAAAATTATTCTTGAAGACTTGTGATTTATGGAAGTTACTCATTTACTTTTATAAAGTCTATACTTATGCATATTAAGGAAGTTTAATTATTGAATATGTGCACCAGTCAAATGAAATGTTTCATGTAAAATTTCCAAATGATTTGGCATTTTAATTGTAGTTATTACTGAATATTATAATATCCCTGGGATTGTGTGTTTCATGATTGGTAGGTAGTAAAGAAAAAGTATCCTTATATTTTAATGCTGCTGTTTAATTTTACATATATATATTTCAACCTTACTGTATGATGAAGTTCAAAATTATACTTAAGATTATCACATTTRTAGATCTTTAGCACATTTATAGTTCTGTAAAGTGAAATTTGAAAGAGAATATTGGTTGAGAGACGAAATAACAAAGGAATTTTCCAATACTGTAACAAATTGTTAGCAAAGAAAAAAAAAAGAAAAGCATCATCAGACCTTTTAAAGACAAATATTCTTAACAGAGATCTTTAATCTTTCAATTACTTAATATCCATCCCATATAAATTTAAATACTTTAATAGAATTTATTTCATCAAGGTATACAGATGCTGCTGACAGAGTCATATGGAAGACCATATTATTCTATCTCTTATTTTCCTAAATACCTTTTTTTGTTGTATTATAAAAATAAATATATATGATTAATAAATTTCATCTGTTTACTTCTGTTCTTATTTAATATATACTTGAAGACAGATAAATATGGAAACTTTATATTTTCTCTAAATKTATCCAGATCTGTGTAAATGTATCAAGCACACTGCAGATAGTCTATGAGTAATACAGGACCATGCAGGTTGACAGCTGAAAAATATGGCTAGCTATTTCTGACACTTAAAAAGTGATGGATTACTCATTTTTTCTTTTTTTAAAGTATACTTATAGAATACTCTAAARACTTTATTCTAGCTTTCTGCATTTTTGTTTTTCAGAATGAGAAAAATTAAGCTGTTCTAGGCAAAAATAAGGAAATAATTCAGCAAAAGAAAATATGTAAAAGGTTCTAGTATAATGGGATAATCCATAAAATCTTAAAATAAGAGAAAAAAGAAACAGTGAGCTTCCTTAAATACAAGGCACACTACTATGATTAAAAAATGTACTTTAAGTCGGAATTTGAGAATGTGGGTAGGGAATCTTATCTTTGAAATAAAATAAAAACCAATCTATTTAATCATCATATTTAGACAATCTGCTTTGTATTTTTTTTTACCTTACCACATTCTCCTTACTCTTTCACCTAGCATGTTAGTCATTTTTTATAGGTTTACAGGAAGCAGCTGACATTATAATTGAATTTGTACTTAAAAAGCATTATTTTGATAAACTGACTCAGCCTAACTCACTGAAAAAATATATTTGCCTTTTTGTTGCAAGCCCCTCAGAAGATTGTGACAAGACACCTTAGCGGTGCTCACATTTTTATGTGAACTATTATGGACACAGWTTGACACACAATATATATGCTCAGTAAAATCTATTTAAATCCAGTTTGCAGTATTCATACTTATTTCTTAGAAGGCCTTGAAAATAGCTCAGCATGTTAATGTAACTATTTTTGTGAACAGACATAAAAATTCTTAAAMTTGCAAAATGCACCATTAGCAGTCAGCTGGATACATTTATTTTGTTAGGYTACCACATAGCTATCATAAAATTCTGTTTTAATTAATCATTTCATATTAAATCTAAGGCTATAATCTTATATTCTTTATTCAAACCAATTCTGAAAACAACCACTTTTCTCAGTGCTGTGATGATGAGCTAAGGAACAGTCATGGGTTTATTCCATCCTTCACTCTATGAAAGCTATTAGAGCAATGGACTCACTCTTGATCTTTCTAGGGATCATCTTCAAAACATAGTAGAGAAATACACAATAGTAAAAAAATTAGAGGGGAAAAGCCTCTAAACTACCACCTACTATGAAATGTGTAGGACACTATAAAGTTAATTAAAAAAATATAGACAAACCCAGCCTTAGAAGATTTAAAAGCACAGTATTTTTCTCCCGCTCCCTCCCCAATACACCCTTCTCACCATAGTCACACCTGACAAGAATGCACTACATGGAATCATTGGTCATTTAGGCAAATCATTCTAATCACATCAGGCACCAACAGTTAAACTATTAAAAAATGAAGCAACAATACAACCCATAAAATTGAGTAAGGTTTTCTAAAAAATAAATATTAATGTCAATTTGGAAGTTACTAGATCACAAAATAGGAAATAAAAGTCAACTATTTCTTTCTCATCTACCATTAAACTCTACATACATCGTTAAGGATGCTACATCTGGACAGATTCCTTTAAGTCCATGAACACTTCCCAAATACTTCTATACAAAGTTACACATCCATGCTGGGTTATTTATCATTGTGTAATGATAATCTGAAGTGGGCCAAGATTTTATTTGCAGGCTATTCAGAGAGGACCTATGTAGCATGAATTTAAAATCCAGGTTGGAAGCAGAAACATAAGGTGTGCAGCCATAGTCTGAACGGGAGACCGTGGTTTAGGAAGTAATGTTTGGAGAATCAGAAGAGAGAGTAGTAGAGAGGACATTTTCCTTTTAGAAATGCTGAGGCACAAAACACAGGTGCTTGTAGTACTTTCATACATGAAATCCTTTCTCCTGTATGTGCATCATATGTAAACGTAAAGTCTGTATGCTGCTGACTATTCGTCTCTGGTGTCCAATGAGTATGACTCCAATTCTCCTAATGTCACTGAGAGAGAGAGAAAAAGAGAGGGAGAAGAAAGAGAAGGAGAAGGGGTGGGGGGTTGGAGACCAAGAAAGGAAGAAAAAGAGAGATAAAAAGAGAAAATGAACAATTTACATTTTATAAAAATGAGAAAGAGAAGTAAAGAAAATGTATGCTTAGATACATTAGATATACAACAGGTCACACTTGCCAAACATTGTGTAGTTTAATTGTTAATATAAATGATCAGTGAGAGTTTGTTATTTTTTTTCTTCTATCTGGTCACACAGAATGTATAATAAGTTAATCTCAAGCTTAATGATACAGGAAAAATTTCATATCTAGGTAYCTATGTAATGTTCAGATATTTTGTAGGCTGAAGGCTATATATGATTTAGATAGTTATATAAATTTGCAACTGTAGTAGCAAAATGATCAATATGCAAGGCAGAMGGTATACTGTGGATTCCATTTGAGTTCTTGATTTCTCAATAATCTGAAAAAAATGCCATTAGGTTGAACTATGAAATTGTTATTACTATTTTAAAACAATGGCTCRATATAATTGTTTTAATATCTAGTTAAGAAAAAACTCACACGTTCAGCATTTATATTGCAYATAGGTAAAAAATGATCTTTGAGACAATGGAAAATGTCTGGCCATTGTAATAAACAAGAGGAGCCCTGGAGTGACATGATAAAATTGTATTTATTTGACAAAGGTARTAGTAGTTATAGATTATKTAAGAAGAAAATATGAAGAATAAATAAGGTAAAACTACATTTACATGTAGTTTGTGTGTACTACTCTTGTTCACATTATAGATGTGAACAARAGTAGTACACATTTTAGAAAGTATTTAAAACATTTTTAAAAGCTATTTGATCCTTTCTAAAAATAATGGTTAAAAATGTAATGTCTAACTTCAACTAGAACAWCAGAGATGGTAGAAATGACATATTTAAGGGCTGGGGTTGTGGCTCAGCGGTAGAGCACTCGCCTAACACAAGAGACGTCCTGGGTTTGATCCTCAGCACCACATAAAAATAAAACAAAGATATTGTGACCATCTACATCTAAAAAATAAAATATTAAAGAAGAAATGACATATTAACCTTAGAAAAGGTGTTATTGATATAGCATTTAAATTTATAATTCCCTAAATAGGACATCTAATTACAGTAATAACCYTAGTACCACTTACTCAATGCTCATTCTTGAAATCAGGTCAAATGTTGTAAACCCTGCTGCCATGAAGTTATTCTTATATTGCCCCATCTTTATAGAATCCAGCCAGTCACCGACAGTGACAAACAAAGGATATTCAGAAACTTCACCAGGAGACTCTGGCATTCTATGGGGAAAACAAAACAAAACAAAACAAAACAAAAAACATAGGCACCAGACAAAAAGTCAGATAAAGGTTTTCTTTTTCCTTTTACAATATTGTTAACATCTAGTATTTTTATCCTCCAATTTTCTGTTATGCAAATCAATAATAAAAACCCCATTTGTTGATCAAATCAATCTTTCGTCTTTTTTCTGCTTTTTTGCCACACTTGGGTCTTATATTTGATAGATTTTGAAGAMATTAACATCTTCTATCTTTTGTTTTTTTACTTTTTCTCTTGCATAAAGCTGTGTTTTAAAACTTGAGGAATAACCTGCTCCCTATCCCCACCAAGAAAGAAAGTAGTTACCAKTTTTGATCTGCCACTGAATCCATGTGCTTTTATCTTTTCCACATTTGTTGGTATAGTTCTACTTTCATGGTGAATTCTTCTATGGTAAATTCATTGATCAAGTATCCACTTAYTCGATTTTAAACATTCAATAGGAATTATTACTTATTAAATAGTAATCACTGCTAGACRTGGTGGCTCATGCCTGTAATCCCAGCTTCTCTGGAATCTTAGGCAGAAGGSTTGCAAGTTCAAAGTCAGCCTCAGCAATTTAGTGAGACCCTAAGCAATTCAGCRAGGCCCTATCTCAAAATATAAAAGGGCCGAGGATGTTGCTCAGTGGCTAAGCACCAATGAGTTCAATCCCTGGTACCAAAAATAAAAAAAAAAAAGTAATTTGCTGCTGTCATAGAACTTGGWTTTGTGAATAAGATTTACATACATTTAAGCATATGGTTTTGTAGCCCAAAGCAAGATAGTATTAAGGCACAAAACAAAACAAAATCAATGTAAAGTTTAATTAATAAGAAAAAGGAATGCAGCATTGGTGGATCATAAAGGCAATGTTATAGCAATCTTTGGTTTCTAAAATCTGAGGCAAAGGCAATTTAGTTGGGGATATTTTGTAATCTTAGCATAAAATAAYAGAAAAGTATTATTTTGGAAAAGCTAGGGTAGACAGGTATGTATAAACTCAGAGGGAATAAAATGAAGCTAATCTTAGAAATTATAGGAAAAAGAACTCAAAGTTGTGTATTTAAGCCATTCTTATGATCAACTATATTTTTCTGCTTCTAGAAATACATGGAAATTAATGTAAAAAACATTTTACATGTTTTTAAAAATATTTGGTTGTAAAAGTGATTTTATAGTAATTGATGCATTATTAACCCTATAGGACAATAAATGTATCATTTAAAAATTCTTGGATTAGGACTTATATTATCTAGTAAAGCAGTAAGAATCTTTTAGTGTTTAGTGTTTGAGTCAAATTAGTGTTTTCTAAATAATGAAAATGTTATTAGAAATCAATCACTGAATTACTTGAATTAGAACAGTGAAGGCTAGTCCAATTTTTAAAAAAACTATAAAGAATGAAAGAATGCATGCAGACTTAACTAGAATTATAATTTTAAACACTCATATTTGAAATATTTTAACATGTTTTTAACATCCATATTTTAATTATTTAACCTATAATTAGAAACTTCTAGTACCTTAAAAAACACATGATTAAACCACATGAAGTAAGAATTCCACTGTGAAGCAGAGGGCATATATAAAATATATAACTGTATTGTTCTGTTAAAATATATGGGAGTGGGAGTTAGGTTCTAAGATTAATGCTGAAGGTGAAAATTGAAATTCCCTAACACACACACACACACACACACACACACACACACATTCTAAGATTAATGGTAAAGGTGAAAGCTGAAATTCCCTAACACATTCACACACACAAATCATTTAAGTTACCCTTAAAGAACTGAATCTTTTAGAAAGACAAGTTGTGCATGGTTTCAACTCCCAAAGACTCTGAAAAGTACGCCCTTGAAATTCAGGAGAGCCCTTAATAAAGGCCTAGAATTAATTTTATTTTTGTATTCCTTGTTCATTGACATCCTTTTTTAAGACTGAGGTTTAGTTGAAAATATAGAGTTGGCAGTGAACAAGGATGATGGGGAAGTACAGGGGGTTTTGCTCTTTACATAATTGGAATGTGAATAAGGTAAGTGTGTGTATCCTGAGAGTACACTGTATTCTTTGTTGAGTCTGGTTATCCTTACCAGCACTGCCATCTTTTTTTTTTTAAGCACTACTCAATTATATTATCACATTTATTATTTTGGAGACTAAGTCATATTCTTCTATACTACAAAAATGTTATTGACTATGGGTTGTTTCATTCTAGTTAATATCAGAATGACTCTTAATTTGACCYGAAATAAGAATCAGTTATGTATAAAAGTTGAATAGCTATCACAAATACTTAAATTGTTCCTCTGTTTCTTAAAATTTTCCTAGAGGTGTTCATGTTAATAAATAATATCAAATAAAACTTCATGTATGAAATACTAAATGATAAAGCTCTTCATGGCAAAATTAGTTATATAAGTTCTTTAACCACAGCATTTCTTGGTGTTAGACTCTAATGTGCATTTTAAATATGTAAGAGAATTTTRTATAGCTTATATATTCATTTCTTAAATTAGATAACTAGTTTCTATGGAATATACTTCAGGAAATAACTGCTGTACTTTATTGACTGAGATTAAATATCAAAATGACTAGGGTACATTTATTAATTATTAATAAAAATAAAATCACATGATAGAAAATTGAATGTCCTTTTWTAAAATAAGATGGCTCTCTTGTGTTTAATTTCTTGTCAAATAAGTTTGTTAAAACTAAATTAAATAAAAGGTGGTGGTAATCTCATGAAAATGGAAGGTGGACTAGTAGAATAGAGGAAAGGAACCAGGGGCAGGGAGRAAGGGAGGGAAAGGAGAAATACTAGGAGAATGATATTGGCCAAATTAGATTGTGCACATATTCAAATATTTAACAACAAATCCCACCATTATGTATAATTATCATGCACCAATAAAAAAATGAAAAAATGTGAGCAAAATTAAAAGACTGTGTTTAAGCAACTTTGCTTTCATATTCCCATGCTGTTCTTGATGCACACACACAAGTCAGATGACTTTCACTCTCCTGAGATAATGCTGGAGTAACTCTTGAGCCATCACAATTTCCTTTAACTGGTGAGTAGAAATGTAATTTGCTAATTTTATGTCTTTAATACAGAAATGGAATGAAAGGACATTCTGTAAACTAAATGACTGAAATGGCCTATTTCCCTGTTGAAAAGCATCCACTATTAGCTCCCAGAATGCTTCAGTATAATAATTCCTTTTCTTTCCACACATCTTTAGTAACCTAGTTACTCTTTGGCCTTTATACRACTGCACTGGCAGTTGATTTAGTAAGGTCAGGATCCCCTCATTGTTCACAGCCACTGTGCAATAACTTTTCTTTCACCTTATCTTATAACGAAGTTGAAAAATGCTCCTATTTTCTGGCTTCAAGGGCTGGGTACCATTAGCCTCACGCGAATTCTCTGGAACATTAACTAATAAACAATAAATGCCCTTTCTTATCAAACGTGTACAATGATAAATTCAGTCTGCTGTTTGCTGAACACATAGAAATTTCTGTTATTTGGTGATTAGTGGGTACTGTCCATCTGAGAAATGTCTTTACAGCAAAACCAGATGCTCACATTTTTAAAAAGTTCGTATTATAAAAYGGAAGGTGGAAGATCTGCTATTTTTCTCAGAAAAATGAGGAGGGGCTAGAATTAGTAAATTTCAGGTATAAATTATGGTCATTTATAGAAAATGGCTGGAGTTTAGGTATAACAGGTAATCTTATAGTTGAAGAAGCAGTAAGTGTATACCTGATTCTTCTAAATATGTGTGTATAAAKGAATATCTCTGATAGAGCAAAGATGTTCCTATTCTAATGAGTCCCTTGAATTCACAATAGTAACTAGTTTTTTAGTTTAGAAGATGCTTACATAGATTATTAGTAGATATCAACACTGTCCTTATAGAGCAAAAATATTTTTATCCTCAAAAGTATTTCATGTTTTACACTTAAATATGATCTAGTAATAAATCTATTTAAATGATTCAATAAAAATTACATTTTCAAAAACACTATTGCAAGTAAAATTCTGTTTTAATATGAAATGATCACATACTTAAAGGGTTTTCTTCCCTTTTATTCTAGCATAAATTCTTTTTTCCTTGCTCTTATATTTATWTACTGTTAGCAGAACTGTACTGATAGTCTATCCTATTTTATATTGCCTTTATTTTGCAAATTTTATGGATATTTTTCATATTTCCATAGTCTTCATACTTAAATGAATATATTATATTCTATATATTTATGCTTAATAATTTTTAATTCCCTAAAATTAGACTCAGATTGCTAACAATATTCTTTTAATATAGATGATCATGTAGTCTTAGAGCATGTATCTTTTTGCTTTAATTGAATTATTTCCCTTGGAAGAAATCCATAAGAAAGAAGAAAATTTTTAAAGAGTAAATTAAAACTCCCTGATGGTAGCAACCTTATCTCATATATTTTTCCTTTTTATATAGGCCCAGCACAACACTGAAAGAATTATAAGAGTTCATTAAATGAGGGATGATTTGTACTTGAGTTTTAAATTCTCTATAGAAATGTTTGATCCATGACATGATAGCTGATTCATGATGAATGATCTATTTTTATTTAATTCCATTATGAGAGCATCTGGAGGAATAAGTTCCTGTTGATGTAACTATCAAGCTATTAATGAATATACTGTTTAACTTATTCCTTACATTGTGGAAATGTTTATATATACTCATTTCCAGGTTTCAGTGGAGGAAGAGGCAGTMCAGAGGGTGCCAGGTGTGTATTGTTAAGGGTTCATATGCAATTCTAACAAGACCTAGAACTAGAACAACATCTCTCCTATCCAGTGTCACTGCTTTTATATGAGTTTCTCATCTCATGACACAGAGACTACCGTCACACTACCTCTGAAGTCATTGAAGGCACAATTTACTTAATCAGATAAAAAATAAAACATTGCATTCAACTTGAA